ACTCCAAAGAATTTTGTTGAGTACTTTGTTGCTGTAAATTTGCAGAATTTTTTATCAAATTTTCTCTTGTTCCAAAAACATCATTAATTACTGTTGCAACATTTAAATTATTAGGATTTGAAGTACAATCAGTTTGGGAATGTTGGGGTTGTTGTTGTTGGAGATTAAGGAGAACAAGCTGGAAAAAATTAATTAAAAAATTTTTTTTAATTCCAAAAAATTTTTTTAAATTCCAAAAAAAATTTTTTTTTAGTTCCAAAAAATTTTTCTTGACAATTCAAAAAAAATTTTCTTGAAATTTTTTGATTAAAAAATTTTTTTGAAATTTTTTCGATTTGAAAATAAAAAAAAATTAAAATAATAAACCAATTGTTGTTCCAAAGAGGCCAAATTTTGTTGTTTATTTGTTGAAAAATTATTATTTAAATTATTAATAGTTGGAGGAATATTTAATGCTTCAATTCCGTTAATTTGTGATGCTGGCGAAGTCACCTCAGATTTTATTCCCACATTTCTGTTTGCAGCAAGTTTTTGATAATTTGCGAGAGTAAGGCTTTCAAATGCCTGTAAAAAGAAAAATAAATAAGAGAAAGACATAAAACTTTAAACATAAAAACAAATTTTACAATTTGTAAATGTTTCAGGTTTCTACAAATATTAATTGTATTCTCAACTTGAAAATAAACTTTTTTATTAAAAAAAACTTGAAACTTTTACAAATTGTAAAACAAGTTTATTTTTTAAGGTTATTTTCAAGTTGGAATACTTAAAAATAAACTTGAAAAAACTTGTTTTACAATTTGCGATTATTTTACAATTTGTAAAAGTTTCAAGTTGGAATACGAAAATATATTCCAACCTTTTACAATTTGTAAACTTTTTACAATTTATATTATCCAACTTGAAAATAAACTTGGAATATTATTTTATTAATAAACCCAAAACTTTTACAAATTGTAAAACAAGTTTATTTTTCAAGTTGGTAGACATAAAAACAAATTTTAAAAAATTTACAATTTGTAATTATTTTACAATTTGTAAAAGCTTCAAGTTTTATTAATAAATTCCCCCCAAAATAAATAAAAACATTTGCCTGTATTCCATTAAAATAATTTTGTTGTGTCAAGTCTGTTGTTGAATAAAATTGTGAAATTGGAGAAGATTGATTTTGCTGCCTAATTAACGCAAGTAATTGCTGCTGTTGAGAGAGTAGAGAATTAGAAGTTAATTCACAAAATAGGGGAAGAGAAGAGGTTGAAGCAGAGTGGTGTTGGTCACGATTTTGTAAAATTGAAGCTAAAAATTAAAAAAATTTTTTTTTGAAATTTTTTGAAAAATTTTTAAAAAATTTTTGGAATTTTTTTAAGGTTAAAAAAATTTTTTTTATTCACCCAATAATCCAGGCAACGCTTCTGAAGCATTATAAACTTGTTGTTGTTGACTCAAATTAAATAAACTTGGATTGTAAAACCTTTCTGAAGGTAATATTAAATTTGAAGAAGCAGGCGGAATTAATTGATTATTTAAAGGTAAATAAGTTGTTGTAGAGTTGGTGGTAATATCAAAAGGAGACAATGTTGTGGTTGATGTTGAGGAGGTTATGGAATTGGTTGTGGCCATTTTTTAGGGTTTTGAAAATTCTGAAAAAAAATTTTTTTAGGTCTAAAAAATTTCAAAATTTTCGAAAATTTTTTATTCGAAAAATTTTCAAAAAAATTTTTCAAAAAATTTCCAAAAATTTTCAAAAAATAAAAAAAATTTTTTCTAAAGTCTAAAAAATTTTTTTGGAAATTTTTCAAGAAATTTTCTAAAAAATTTTCAAAAATTTTCCAAAATTTTTCAACCTTTTTCAAGTCTTAATCATGCGCTTTTTATAAAAAATGTGAATGAAAAATAATTAATTTAGAGAAAAGGTAATTGAATATATTATTAACTTTGCAAAAAAGATTGATTATAAAGAAAAGTAAATGGAGGGGGGAAGAAAAAAAATAGAGAAATTAATGAAAAGAATGTGAAAAACATATAAATATTAAGTAAAATTAACCCAGAAAATCGACACATTTTTAAAAAGGGAGGAAAATTGCGGATTAAAACTTGCGGGCTGAAATTTGCGGACTTTTTATAAACTTGCGGACGAAGACCTACGGATTTTTAAAAGTAAAATATGCCCACCAAAATAGTGCTATGCTTTGACTATCCTACTGGGTTGACCTAGCAGCTCCAGTTTCAATAAACTTTAAGTCCGCAATAAAATGATATTCCGAAAAGTTAAAAAATATTGGATGGATCTATTCAAGAAATGTGTAATGTGCCTCCAAAATAGTGTCAAATGCTTTGACTATCATTCTGGATTGAACAAGACTTCAATAGGCTTAAAATCCGCAAATCCCAGTCCGCAAAAACCATTAGTCCGCAAATTAATAAAATGAAGATTTTGGATGGCCTATTGAAAAAAATCAACCAAAAAAACATAAAATAAGATAGAAACTACGGGTAAATTCTCGAAAATAGGACAGAAAATAAGAGTCAAACGTCTAATGAAAAAATTGGGGAAAAAACGGGAAATCCTGGTCATTTTAAATTTTTCAAAAAATTCAAAAAATAACTAAAATTCCTTAAAATTCCCCCAAAAATTCTTTTAATTCAATTAAAAAAAGGGAAGAATAATTTAAAGAATGCGGAAAAAATGCAGGAATGTGTTTATTATTTTCGCAATAATCTCTAGGAATTAGCGTCATGTTTTTGGTTATATAAAGTAAAAGTGCGGGGAGAATTTATAGGAAAAAAGGGAGGAAATGAATGGAATTTTAATAAAAGATATGAATATTAATAAAAATAATGGAGAAATTAAAAAAAAGATTAAATGGATAAACTAACAAGATTTGAAGGTAAAAAAATTTGAGGGGAAAAATATTCCAAGACCTATAGATTCAAGAATTTTGGAAGATAAATGAGTGTCCACAAAAACAAAACATGTCCGCAAAAATTTTTTTTACAAAATCAAAATTTTTCTGGCCAAAGGATGACCTAAATTTTAGATGTATAATGAATCGTATAAAATTTTTCTAGCCAAAAATGGATCATCTAGCTTATGATTTCATCCACTGTTTGATATTTCGAGTTTTTGGAAGATTTGATAAAATGTCATCTAGCTTAAGTCATCAGCTGGTATAAAACTTCATCCACAGTTTGGCATTTCGGCGTTTTGGGAGGGTTGGTACTTCGACGGTTTGGTATTAAGGCATTTCTATTTTTGCGGACTTTTGTTTTGTTTTTTCGGACACTTATTCATATGTGACAAAACATATGAGAAGAAGCCTTAACTAAAAGTCATTCAAAAATTAAAAATACCCCTAACATTGATAAGCCAAAATTTTTGCAAAAAATTTTTTTTGATTTATTAGAAAAATTAAAATTCTCGAACTTATACCTGTCAAAATTCCTAGCTATTTCAATTAATCTTCTCATTAAAATGACCAAAAAAATTTTTCAAACCAAAAGGAATGTTTAATAATTAAAAAATGAAGTTTAATATAAATAATTAATTTTTACTTCCCTGATTGGAAGCAATCAATTGCTATAGAAAAGAGGGGGAGACAAAAGGAATGCAAAAAGAAAAAAATTTTTCTAAAAATATTTTTGAGCGATAGAAGAGAATGGAATTTTAGAGGCGGAAACAAGTGGCAGAAAATGAAGGGGGGGGGGGGAGGGGAGAAGGGGGGGAAGGGGGAAGAGGAGGAGGGGGGGGGAAGAATGAAGGGAGGAGGGAGGGGAGGGATGAAGAGGAGGGAGGGTGGTGGGCAGTTGTGGAATGCGCTGAAATGATTTGCTTTGTTAAATGGGAACGAGAAGGGAAGGAAATTTAGAGAGAGGAATGATCAACCCAAGAGATCGAGAAATAAAAATACCAAAAAATCAGGGGAAAATCAGAGAAAATCCGGGAAAGAATGAAAATGATCAGAAATTTAAGATTTCATGGATAAAGAAAAACCTGGAAAACCAGCAAAATATGAGGAAAACCAGCAGGTTTAATTGTAAAAAGGCACACACAATCACAGGAGATCAAAACAGGCAAAGGCCTTTCAATGCGGGCTCAGCTCAGCATCCTCTTCAACATCAGCTTGTGGCTGCTAATCTAAAAATAATATTTAATAAGTTATAGACTAACAAAGTAACCTGACAAGCACAATAATGACTAAATAATAGTGTAAAACTAAAGAGCGAGCTGGATCCAGACCTTGATCTTTCCTGGATCCAGAGAAAAGATCAAGGCATTTTTTAGAGTTCCATGATTTTTCCTTGACACAAAATCAAAAATCTGGTCAAGGTACCCAACCGATATCAAGGCCAAGGATCAAAGTTTTTGAAAATCTCGCTCTATATGAAACAAAAAAGTTTTTTTCTAAAAACAAAAAAAAGAGAAAAGAAGAAATTTAAATAATCACGAACAGTATTTTTTATTAAACGCCAAATTGGCATAATGTATTTTTTTCAATTTTCGGGTTTTTCTCTGTTTTTAAATTCTTCGTTTTGGTTCAATTTTTTGTTTTCCTATTTTTTGTTTTCGTTCAGTTATTTCATTCTTTTCAGAAGACCAACCGGTAAAGATTTAGTTAGATTTCTTTTTTCCCTTATTTTTTTAGTTATTCAAACGCTATTTTGAGCAATTACTTGCTGATTTGAGCTATTTACCTGCTGAATTACAAGAGATCCAGTTTCTTCTTGTGGATTCTATTGGATTGGGAGGAACGGCGAGTTTTTAAATTGCTTTTTTTATTTTTCGTATCTTTTAAGGTGTGTCAAATTGACAGATTTGTTTCAAAACTACACCAGCTTTAATAACATCAAAGAGGACAAATTAAGATGTTGGCTGAACAAATCGACGTCCAACAATTGTTGTAGAGCAATATGTTCGTCCAACAAATGTTTTCCTATCAATTAAAATCGTAGAAGGAATGCTTCCAATCGATATAGAAAGTAAAATCAAATTTATAATTTATCAATCATATCATCTAAATATCTATAATAATAAATCCTACATATCACAAAATAAATACACACTTTCTCATTATCAAAATCTAAAAAATTCTTGTTTTAAATCGCGCTCCTCATCTTTCCAAGGCATTATTTTAATTGTGGTAATGTACAATCTTTGTTGTTTTTGTTGAGGTTGTAGATTTTCCTTTTCTAGCAACCCATCGCTTTTTGGGCTTCTAAAATTTTTTGAAAATTTTTTAATAACTTATCACTGCCAGGGTTAGAGGTTACACATCCAACCTGCACTTAACGGGTAAGATTCAGGTTAGATGCCTGGCAGTACTTAGTGAAGTAAGTCTTAGTATAGTCCCTGAATGTCACTTAAACAGGCTGTAATCTCCGATAGGGAGGCATTCGGTCTAGCTTTCTTCTAAATCCCGAGGCTGCAAGGGTTTGACTTATCTACTACTAACAAGTATATAAAATCCTTAACATTCTCCCTCCAACTGTAAGGTAAAGCAGGTATGGATGGCTTATTATAGGGTAATTCCCCGTCCCCGATGTTTTTTTTTGGTAAAACCCCGACCCGAACTCCGAAGGCTCTACCCCGGCAACCCCGACCCCAAACGCTCAGAGAGCTACCCTACTCTATTACAACGGAAAATTCTCTCCCACCTTTCATTTTTAATTAATAACATCGTGTCTTCACTAATTTCCTTCTTGCTTCCTTTCTCCTTATCATGAAAGATTAAACGCATAGGGCATATAATTAAAGGTTGTCTCATCTCTTGAGGCCAGAAAAACAGCGAACTTCTTTGGACCGGGGCTGCAATTCTTTTAACAAATTCTTTTGCAAAGTCAATGCAATTATTATTAAGTAAATGATAGTTATCTTTGCGATATTTTTTACTCAATTCTTCTTTTACTTGCATTATTTGTTCCAAGGTTAAGCGTGTTGTTAAGTTTAGTCTGTCTATGAAGCGCCTAAAAAGTATTCTTTTTTTGGAAATTTATAGAGCTTGAACTCAGTTTATCTAGCGAGTCTACATCCTCTTATTGAGTCTTCCCCCTTCTTAACCCTCTAAAATATCACTTTCTTGTCTAAATACGGACGATTTTCGTTCTCATAAACCAAGGATTTCTCGGGTTATCCGAAATCAGATACCGGACCTCCCTCTTAATTCCTTAACTGAACCGACCCGAGACCGAAACGTGGTACTTTTTTCGACTTGTAACCCGATCTGACTTTTTCAACCCGTGGCATCCCTGCTATATGAAAGATTAAACATATAGGGCATTGAGGGCTGAGAATTCGTATTTAAAAACGAGCCGTATCCTAGAGGTGGAGGTATTGCTTAGGCTAGCTCCACTCCACCCGATTTAATGGATCCTACTTTAACTAACTCACATAAACTTAATCCTCCACCGGACCAATCTATTAACATAGCGAACATTAAAAGTTTTCCTTTCATTCATAGGTGCACAAGCAAAAACGCCAATTCTCATTCCATAATGAAACTCTTGCCCCTTAACAAGCACCCCAATATGATAAATACGAAATTGCTTTTGAACATCATATACAGCTAAACGTATTCTAGAATCATTGGGACTCATTCCTGGTTGTTGCTCCATTCCGTCTACACCCATTTTTAATTAATTTTATTAAAAAGATTTTTTAATCTAAAAATTAATATTAAGTAAATTAATTAAATTGACTATTTTGCTGGCTAGAAAAATTAAGTAGAATTTAATATAGATCGTCTTAACCTTTGCACATTTTTGTAAAAATTAATATTACTGCTATTTTTGTAATAGAAAAAAAATTTTGTGAAGGGACACATTGTTGTTCCACCTTCTTTTTTCTGTTTTAAAATGCAGTCAAATCTCCTTATGGTATACCCCCACTAATGTCTACCTCTGGGTTTAGTGAACAGTTTTTAAATGGCCAATGTTTGGCTGGTAGGGGGTCAGTTTAGTTGACAGTTTTTAAATGAGGCTGGCCACAGGTTGGAGGATATGCCGAAACGAAATACCTATTATGTTCACGTTGTGGGTAATTTCATAAGGTATCAGATAGATATGACGTGGAATATGAGGGGAGATATAGATATAGAAAAACTGAAAATTTTAATGTACAACTTAATTTTAGGGTAAGAATTTTGTCTCCCCCAAGGGTTTACATTAATTAGGTTCGGTTCTGTTTTATAGGTAAATTACAGGTAATTATAGGTAACTTTAATTAACCTAAAAGTGTTTTTAAAAAATAATTTTTGTGCACAATTTGGCGTTTAAATATTCGGTTATTTTTGAGGTATTTGAAAAACGCGTGAAGTGACGTCCCCTAGGGTTTCCGCCAATTTTTGATCTTTGAAAGGAGAGTTTAAAGAATTTTAAAGAAGAACTAGGGACCCTTCGGCAATTAAAAATAAAATTCTCTTCACAAATGAATTTTGGAAAATTTAAATTACCAAAAAATATTTTAATAATTACTTGAATAATTACCTATTCCCCGCCCAATTTTTGACCATTTACCTAATAACGAATATTTTAAAGAGAGCAAGGTAACAGGAAAATTTAGCGCGAAAAAAAGGAGAGAAATTCGGCCAATTCTGTCTTTTTTTGAGATTTTTGCTCTTTCTCCTAAATAAATTTAATTTTATTAACTTATCAACGCGCAACGTCTTTTTGCTGTTAATTTGGAAAAAAATTAATTTTTAAATTAAAAAAAATTTAATTTTAGTCTAATTAAATTGATGGGTATTTGACTGAAAATATGTTAATTAATTAATATTTTTTTTGTATTTTTATTTTATTTTTCTTTTGAATGCAAAATAAATAAATTAATTTAAAATTAAGGGGGTGGGTAATTAATAGAGGCAATAGAATATTTTAATTTTTGTACCTTGATTTTATTTGGATTTTTAGGGGAATATGAGACAATGGGAGGGAAAGTGCATTAAACTAATTTTTTTGTTTATTTTTGAAATTAAAAAAAATTTTTTTTTCGAGGAAGGGAGGAAGGGGAAGGAGAATGAATGAGAGGAAAGTTCGCTAATTTTTCGTCAAGTTTGGAACGAAAAATAATTTTAAAAAATTAATCTTGGTATCATTAGATAGAGCAGAAAATCAGCTACAAAACGATATATAAAACAAAAATTTGGGTAGCTGGAAAGTAAAGTTATGAATTTTTAAAGTTAGCAAGGTTAACGTCTATCCCTCAGTAAATGACAGTTTTTTATAGGTATAGAAAAAACTAAAAAAATGTATATAAAAATTCTTTTTAGAACAAAAAATTTTTTACGGTCTCAAAAAAATTAAAAAAAATTTTTTAGTTTAATTTAGCCTTGAACCATTTAAAAATGTTTTTCGACTATTAAAATATTTTTTTTGAAGAAATAAAAATAATCTTTAGTAGGGGGAAATAAAGGAACTTTTTTAATAAAATAAATAAATTTAATAAAAATTTTTTTTTCAATTTTTTTCAATTTTATAATTAATTTAAGAAGGAAGAAAAAAACCCGCAAAAGAGAAAAATTAACTAGTTTACTAAGTAAATGTTTGGTCAATTTTTTTTATTTTTAGATTTTTTTATTTAAATTTCAAGGGCAATTTATTAAATTTATTATTATATTTTTGACGTCAGTTGTGAATTTGCCGAAAATATTTTTATAAAATTTGGTCGAAAATACATAAAAATTAGTAGATATTTGGGAAAAATAAAATTTTCCTGGTTGAGTGGAAAACCTTGAAAATTAAAATGGACATATCCTCATAATAAGAAAATTTATTTTAAAAATACCCCTATGACAAAAATTAATATTTTCGTCTTATGCTCGAATAATTACACCCTCTCAAATAATAGTCCTCTCTCAAGTAATTACCCCTTTATTGAGAGGTTGAAATAATAATACCCAAAATAATCATTTGAGCATTAGAGATCGAGCTGGGCCTGGACCAGAGGTCGATCGGAACTGACGAAGGTGCCTGAAATCAGAACTTTTGGAAATCGGAAATGGCTGAAAAATCGGAACTCGTAAACCCGCCTAAATTTTCGGAAATCAGAATTGCGATTGACCTCTGGTCTGCACCAAGGCCTGGGTTTTTCTTGTACCCAGAGTCCAGGCCCGGGCATTTTTTGACCTTCCTGGGTTTTTCCTAGGCCTGGGTATTTCCTGACTACAGGCCCAGGATCCGGCCCAATTCAATAGATCAAACCCAGAGCCCAGGAACAGGTCCAGGATCTTCAAAAATTTCGATCTCTTTGAGCATATACAGTATATTAAAATGAAAAAATAATTTTTCTCATTAAAAAAATTTTTTTAAAAAACAACTAAAAAATATATATTAAGTAAAAACAACATTTAAAAATTATACAAGACATAAATTTTAATTTTTAATAAATTTTATTTTTATATTTTTTTGCTGCTATTTTTATTTTCATCAAATATTCCAGTTTTACGATTAACTTCTGGTCCTTTAATAATTTTTTAAAAAATAATTAATTAATTAAAAATATCAAAAACATACGGCAATTAACACAATGAATCCAAAGAACGTTTAAATGACGCAAATTTGCCAGATGGGCAAAACGGCTAATTATAGGGGCGGAGGAACAGAAGTATTTGTCGTCGTAGCTTAGTTCGCAAGTATTGCTGGTTTTGTTAAAGATGGCTCCCGTACAGCCGTCCTTTTAAATTTTTGTTTAAATGATACTGTAATATACTGTAGGTTACTGTAGGACCGTAACCTTTGGGACAGAAATTGTATCTTATAATAAAGTGTATATTAAATAGAGGGTAGCGCTTAAGCTTCCCTCGCCCAGTGGCAAACAAAATTTAAAAAACATACACTAAATAGAGGTGTAGCTTGTATTGGGGGTTTCTAATATCGAGGTCTGACAAAATTTCTGAGAAAATGAGTTTTGTGGGGGTCCCTCTTCAATAGACCCTCTTCAATAGACACTCAGGAGCCTTATCCAATAGTTCTGGGGCCCTTTCTAATAGAAGCTCTGGTCATTCCTATTAGAAGTTTTGGTACTCTCTAATAGAAGCCTTGTTGCCCTTTCTAATAGAAGCTCGGCTACATATCTAACAGAAGCCCTGATACCCTCTCCAATAGAAATTCTAAGTAAGAGTTCATGTCTTACCTGATAACACCGTATAGCACACACTTCAATAGATTCTACATCCAATTTTAATTCAAAAGGTGCTTTGTGATGGGAGGGTCTATTAGCTAAAGGTTCGGCTTGAAATGTAATGAAACAAGCTGAAAAATATTTTTTTTCGTAATTTCCCCTTTAGACTAACCATTATCCAATTTTATGGTTTCTGGTCCTTTACCAGAATTATTAACGTGTAATTTTTCTGTTTTTAGTGGTGTATCTGTTTTTGAGGTGTTGAGAAGAGGGGTTGAAGAAGGTGCTGGTGTTGTTGAGGTATTAGTTATAGTAGTGGTGGAGATAGTGGTAGAAATTGAAGGATGTGTTGAGGTGATTGTTTTTATTGCTGTAAAGAGGGGGAGTATAATTGGGTTGGGTGATATGAGGAGAAAATCCCAGTTAGAACTCTCCTTACTCATCCCAGTCAAACCTATTATGTCTCGTACTTATCTCACATATTCCTTGATTCGTCCCTGACTTACCCAACTCACATCTTCATATATCTCTCCTCTCACTTATCCCACTTATTCCTTCATTCGTCTTTGATTTATCCCTTCATTTTTTCTACTTATCCCAAGGGATCCCAATTGCCTCTTCATGTGTCTCTACATATCCCACTCATCCTTTAAGGTATTCCTATCTTATTCCAACTATCCTACTTATTCCTCACTTTCAAGGGAGTCTTTTTATTAATTCGAGAGAGTCTCCTATTAAACGAGAGAGCCCTCACTAATCCAAGGAATCTAATTTATCAAAAATCTACTAGAATTGCTTGTTGTCTCAATATTAATGTTGGGTATTGCTGGAGCCGTTCCATTTTCCAACGATTTTGTACTTAAGGAGGAAGCTTTTTGTATTATTGAAGGGATAGTCGCTGTTATTATTTTTGTTAGTATTGTTGAAGGGGTAGTAGGGGATGTTTTTGGCAATACTGTAGTGTTTTTAGTTTCGACATCTTTTGATTTTTGTTTGGGTATTTTTTGTTGTCCTCCTCCTCCAAGATTTGTTGTTGTATTATTTAAAGGTGAGAGAATGTCTAAATCTCCTGTTACTCGATTGACTTCTGGACCTGTATAAGGAAGGAATTAAACAGTAAGTTTCCAGGACTCGAATCTCTTCCGTAATGGTTATGGGCTCAAAATGTCCAAATTACAGAATGAAATTACAAAAGGTCCATATTACAGAATGCCCAATGCACAAAAGACCTAAAGACGAAATGCCCATATTTAAGAAGGTCCAATTTACAAAATTCCAGTGTTTAAAAGGCTCAGCCACGTCTGAACAATTCTGGCTCAATGCAGTTACCCCCCTCTTCCTCCTGACCCCTCCTCTCTTCCCCCGGATTCCCCCTCTATTCCTCCTGATCCCTGGAAGATATAAAAATTAAAAACCTACGGCAATTAACACAATGTATCCACAACGGATTAATATTCTTTAATTGTTCCAAATGCCGAAAACGACTGATTATCGGCTTCGAATCACAAAAGTGTTTATCTTCATACCCCAAAACACAACTCTTATTGTGTGAATGAAATAGTGCCCCAGTACATCCATCCTGATAGCATCTAACGGCACAAATCTCCAACGACTCCACTTCAATCTCTAATTCAAACGGGGCCGTAAAATTCTTTGGGCGACTGGCTAACTCTTCTGCCTGGAAGGTTATAAAGCACCCATGTTCTAATTTGATAGTGGACGGAACTGGGGGACTTGCTGGTTCTTCTACTTCGTTTACTTTGTTGGGAACTAAAGCGCTGATTGACCTTCCAACTAGAGGGATCTTTTCATTCATTAATACAGTCTTTGCTTGATGAGCTTTGTTTCTTTTATTTTTGGGAGGTTCTTCTTCACTATTTAGGCCTTTTTTTAATTCTCTAACTTCCTCGGAAACATCCTCAACCATCTCTTTACTTTCTCTCTTCAAGCTGGATTTTGTTCTAGTACTGTCCTCAAGGTTTTTCTTCTCCACATTTTTATCCTCTTCCTTTTCTTCCCTTCGCTTCTTTTCCATCTCTCCAATTTCTTCCCCTTCCAACTTCTTTCTCTTCATATTTTCTTCCATCTTCTCTTCTTTCGTTTCCTCATTCCTCTTCCTGTCTTCTTTCTCTTCCACTTCCCTGTCTTCCTCATCCTTCTTCCCTCCATCTCTCTTCCTTTCTTCATCATTCTTCCTTTTCTCTATCTTCTCTTCTTTCTCATCTTCCTTCCGTTTCTCATCCCTCTTCTCTTCACCTTTACCCTCCTCTTCCTTTCTGCTCATCTTCTTCTCTTCATCCTCCTTCCTCTTCTCCTTTCTCTCAACCTCTTCCTTCCTACTTTCCTCCTCATCAATCTTCTCATCAATAATTCTCTTCTCTGCCGATAAATCAATATTCTTCAGTTTATCTTCAATTTGCTCATCACCCTTCCCACTTAACAATTTTTCAATTTTCCTTCCGTTTTCTTCATCCAATTTATCATCTTTTATTTCGGCAACTTTTCTCTTCGACTTATCAAGTTCTGTATCTTCTTTCTTGAAGGTAGTCTCCGACTCATTCTCTTCCCTCTTTTCCTTCTCTATTTTCGAATCACTTTCTTTTCTTGTTTTATCTTTTCTTGAAAGTGAAGCCTGTCTCTCTTCTTTGTCGAGCTTCACTTCAGTCAATTTCTCTTCACTCTTATTTTCTTCTTCCTTTCCTTTCTTCTTTCTTGATGTCTCTTCCTTTGCGTCATCCGCTTCTGATTCCTTTACTTTCTCATCCTTTTCCTTCTTCAACCTCGTTGCTTCTTCGCCTGCTTTCTCATCTTCCTTCTTTAGCCTTTTCTCTTCCTTATCCGCCTTCTCTCCATCTTGTCTATCCTTTCTCAACAAGCTTGAATCTTCCTCTATTTTCTCTTCTCCCTTTTGTTCATTTCTTTCCTTCTTCAACCCTCTTGTATCTTCCTCGATCTTCTCTTCCCCAATCTTCTCTTCCCTCTTTTGTTCATCTCTCTCCTTCTTCAAACTTCTCGTCTCTTCCTCTATATTCTCTTCTCTCTTTTGTTCATCTCTTTCTTTCTTCAACCCTCTTGTATCCTCCTCGATTTTCTCTTCCCTCTTTTCTTCTTCCTTTCCTTTTGTCATCCTCTTAGATTCCTTTTCTTCATCCACATTCTCCTTTTCTTCTCTCCTCAACTTTGTATTATCCACGTCCATTCTCACCACGTCTTTTTCTTCATTCAGTTTCCTTTCATCCTCCCTCTTCTCTTCCTTCTTTTGCTCATCTTCCTTTCCTTTCTTTAACCTCGTTTCTTCTTCCTTGACTTTTCCATCTCTCTTTTGTTCATCTTTTACTTTAGTTACACTCTTCGATTCTTTTTCTTCTTTATCAACACCCTTTTGATCATCTTCCCTTCTTAATTTGGTATTAGATTCTTCCTTCCTTTCGTCTTTATCTATTTTAGTTTCACCATTCTTCTCATCTCTTCTCTCTTTTATTTTCATTTCTTCCTTCTTTCCATCTTTTTCCTTCCTTTTTTCAGCTGATTCCTCTTCCTCTTCACATTCTACACTTTCTTCCTTTACATTTTTCTTCTCTTCAGCTTTAATTTTCTTTCTCTTCACATTCTCATCACCCAACTCTTTTTTGATTTTTGACTCACTATCCTTAACTTTCTCCGTTTTTCCTTCTTCCACTTCTTTAAATTCATCTATAGCTTTCTTATTTACAGAAGCTAAACTTAATTTTTCATCTTCTTCTCTTCCAACTTCCCTTCCAACCTCCAAATTCCTCCTAGCCACAAACTGTTCGTTTTCATTTGTAACATTCTTCTTCAATAAAGCAAGCTCTTCCTTCTTCAATTTATTAGAAGAATTATCTTCGTCTTCTTCTTCAAGACTTTTCTTCCCTTCTAATTTCTTCTCTTTTCTAATCTCTTTTTCCTCCGTCTTTTTCTTTCGCACTTCTTTTATAACGCCAAGCTCTTCCTTTTCTCCATTTTCTTCCATTCTCTCCTTTATATCTTCCTTCGAGGCATCTTCATCATTTTTATTCTTTCTAATCTTTTCTTCCAAAGTTTTTTTCTTCTGTTCTTCCTCAACTTTTTCTTCCTTTTCCGTTTCTTCCTTTCCTGTCTCTTTTTCTCTACCCTTCCTTTCCTCGTCAGCTTTTATCCTTTCCTCCTTCTTCTCTTTCTTTCCAATATCCTTATCCTGTCTTATTTTTTCATCCTTAACATTTTTTACTTCCTCACTCTTTTCATCTTCACCCTTTTCTCTTCCAGCATTCTTTCTTTCTTTTCTATCCTCTATTTTAGTTTTCTTATCCATCGTCTCTTCTTGATTATCAGTAGAGAAGAGTGTCAAATCATCACTTTCCTTCTTCACTTTTTCAGTTTTTGTCTGTTTCTTTTCCGTTTCTCTCTTCTTCTCTTCCTCAACATTTCCTTTCCCAATTTTCAAAGAAGGCAGTTTCTCTTCCTCTTGATCCTCTTCCCTTCTTTCCTTTTTCTTATCATCTTCCTTCCTGCTTCTCTTTTCCTTATCCTCTGATCTTCCCTCTTCATCTCCCTCTCTCTTCTTATCATCTTCCTTTTTATCACCCTTCTTTTCCCTTGTATCTTCTCCCTTCTCATCCTTCAAATCCTCTTCAGACAATCCTTCTTTATTCTTCTTCCTTTTATCCTTCTTTATTTCATCTTCAGTTACCTTACTTTTACCAATTCTCTCATCAATACTCATTCCTGTCGTTGTCAAAACAAGTTCACTTTCTTCTGTTTCTAGTTTTTCTCCCATTTTAGCTTCTTTCTCATTTAATAAAATATTTTTCAATTCTTTTTCTTCAAGTTTGTCTTTCTCATCTCCAGCTTCTTTCCATTTTCTTCCCTCTTCTTTAATTAAATCCAAAGTATGTATCTTCAAATTTCGTTTGAAAAGTTCATTTTCCTCCTTTTTAAGCTTTTTAATGGGCGGCTTTTCATCGCTAGACTCCCCTTCCTTCTCTTCCTTTGTCTTTTTCTTCTTCTCATCCTTTCCGTTTGCTTCTTCATCTTCCTCTTTTTTCTTCTCCTTTCCTTCCATTTTATCCTTTCCTTCATCCTTTTCATCGCTCTTCAAGTCTTCCTTAGAATTCTTCCTCTTCCCCTTCTCTTCCTTGTCAATCTTCTCCTTTTTAACCCCCTCCTTTTCTTCTTTTCTTCCCCTTTTCTCTTCCTCATTCTTCAACTTTTCTCCTTCACTCAAACTTCTTCCTTCCTTAACATCAACCGTATCTTCTGCCTTTACCTTCTCTCTTTTATCTTCCTTCTTTTCCTTCAAAAAGAAAAAGTCTTCCTTCTCTTTTCCTTCCTTTTCATCCTCCAAACTCTTCTTTTCCTTATCTTCAAGTTTACTTCTTTCTTTTCCACTGACTGATTTTGTTTGATTATCTTCTTTCTTAGAAACCTCGACTGCCTAAAAATTATCAAAGAATTATTGACCCTTGTGTAACTGACCATTTTGTCCTTTGAAGGTGCCGCAATGTGCCAACCCCTTCTAGAATGCATTTCTGCCAATAAATCCAATGAAAATACAGATTTAAACAATTTTTTAGGCTTTTCCTCATCTCTGCCAATATTCTCTTCCTTAACCATCACCTCTTCCTTCCCTTCATTATTTAACAAGTCAACAGTATTTTTCTCTTCATTCTCCGTTTTTTGTAAAACTGTTCTCTTCACAAATTCTTCCTCCTCCTCCTTCGGTTTTTTCTTCTTCCCGTCCTCTTCCTTGATCTCTTCCTTCACCTCTTCCTTCCTTTCATCCAAATTCTCTTCCATTTTTGCGATAGTAGCTTCATCATCTACCCTAATTGTAGTCATCTCTTCATCGGAAGGAGGGATAGGAGGAAGAATTGTGTTTGTTAGTGGTAGCTGTTCAACTGGTTGTTGGACCTTTAAAGGATTTTTAAAATTAAAAAAATTTTTTAATCCCAACATTTGGGTCCACAGGAGCAACCGGAGCTACCGGGGGCAATGTTGGAGGAGGTAAAGTACTGAAAGGTTTAGCAGATGGAGAGAATGCTGAACTAGTAGTCGTCGTAGTAGTTGTTGAAACAAAAGATAGGGGTGTTGTGGTTATGTGA